GAACTTTTCCGTTTAAATAAAAATATCAACGTGCCTGAGGCGGCAACGCAACAGCGACAGATTGCTTCCATGCGCATGGCGCGAGTGGACAGAGGCTCATAAACCACGGACCCACGTATACAGACTGGGCTGCCTTGAGTAGTGTTGGGTCGCATTCCAAACATACTTGATCTGACTCGGCGTTTTGCGTTGTTCTATCGGTGTGGTCGCCCGACATGCGTGACATGAACCGCCGAAGTAATTCGGATCCGCTCGAGTAAGATTTAGGAACACAACATTGCTGTAACGCGCCAGACGCGCAGACGTGCTATTGCGCCAATTCCCACCACCCCCAAGCACGCACACACAATCCCCGGCCACGGTCGGGCCTGGAGTTTTGGACTCCTGCACTTGCCCCGGCCTGGTGCCTGGCTGCGCCGTGCGCTGTCGCCTCGTCATCTCCACCGTCTGTGCCTTCAGACTCGCTAGTGCGGAGCAAGCCGGTCCTTGTGTTGACTGATGACACCTTGGTCATTTCACCGCCTGTCGCCCGATTATCGTTTTTTTGTGTATTTGCAAAGTGCACGTGCTCCAACGTCTCTCGGCACGAGGGCGTAGCTTTACCTAGCCTCATAATACAATTTTATCCACAGATGTTTATGTGGTCGGCGTTTTAGGTTTTGCCGATAAACACCGATAAAAGTATGCCGAATCCATTTTTGTAAATTCGGTTTTCACCGAAAATTTTCAGCATCTTAGACTAGTAAAGCACGCCAAGAGGAGAAGGGGAAAGAGTGGGGGATCTGTCATCGTACTTGACCGCGAAGTGTTCTCTTCGTGGACAGGGCAGCGCTCTTTAGGGAATAGTGGGGTCTGTCGTGGATGTAATTTACGTTCCCCTTCGGGATTCAGTCGTTGTGCGTCTATTTCGTGGTCGTCGTGTAAGGACCGGACTTGGAGTGTTTTTATTAAGGTGAAAGCCTTATATGTCTCATCGTTCAGTCGATCTTGAAAGCCCTTGAGCGAAAACCTGTCCACACGAAGGGTATAAAAAAAATTCTGCACGCACACTCCTTCGCAATTGCACACTCTTCGAAGGACCTGACGACCTTGACGCCATCCTAGAGTTTCTTCTGGACGTCGACCTTGACGCCGTCCTTGAAGGCCTCCTGAAGATCGCGCTAGAGGTCGTCCTAGACGTCCTAGAGGTCGCCCTAGAGGTCGTCCTAGAAGTTGTTTTAGACGTCGTCTTTAACGTCGACCTTTAGGACGTCATTCTCAACGTAGTCCTTGAGGTTGTCCTTAAGATCGCCCTCGAGGTCGTGAAAAAAGAGAATGTAAAAAAACATTACGTGAAACAAAGTAAATCATGTGCCTGACTTTAATGCGTCACCACCCAGGCTTTCGCCTTCAAGTCGTCTTAGGGATACCATAACAGACCTTCCAATTTTTGTGAGTCAGGCCGTTTGATTTTACTTTTGTTTTATTTTGTGGGGGAAGGGAGTCATCCTGTTTGTACGGCTTCCACAAAGAAACCCAAAGCTGTTTCAACACTCTCTTTCAAGCTCTTCTCTGATTAGAGGGAAGCAGCCTTGATAATTCCATAAATTTGACGGACTAAAAAGCGCGCCAAGAATTCTGCATTCGAATTTCGAGATTTAAAATTTGTCGTCCCGAACAATACATAATCTTACAAGTGCTGCCTCGGGATGATTGATTGAGATCTGCGCCTAATGTCAACGAGGTAGAAGGGCTTAGAGTGATAAACCGGGGTTCCGGTCTGCACTCGAAAGTGACCCCCATAAGGTGGCTGCCATTGTACTCAAAATTGACTACTCGTCACATGACCAAACCAAATACGCGACTTCACAGGAAAGATGGCAGCGTCCATGCAGCGGCTGGCCCCAGCTGGGCCGGAGCTTGTCGGATGCTTTGTTAGTTGTCGACTTGTCGTTCGTCTCGGCGAGCTGATTTCAGACGCGAAAGCCGTCATATTAGGGCGGTCGAAAACGACTTCAGAGTTCAGCGTGGTGTCTGACGTAGGTATAACGTGAAGATACGGAGGAACGGTGTGCATTTCGCTGGTGACCGACGGGGTTATTGCCACGGAAGAGACAATCTGCCCTACGTTGCTCGGACCTCGGATTGATTCGGATACCGCTAGGATAAAATTTAAGGCGACGTTTCTGTGCTCTCGTTGACCATCGGAATCTTCGAGGTCTGTGGTGAAGCATGTGCAATCTATTTGGACACACAGTTTAGCGACGGAAATTGCGCGAATCGTGCTTGGCAGTGTACAATCGTGGTGCAGCTTCGTTCAAATGACCGAAGGCTCACTTTGGTTGTGCGGCGCACCGGAGAGCTGCCTTGAAGGTGGTATTTCCCGTGCCGTGCTAAATGATGCTGTGCTGCTTCCCAAATTGTTCCGGCGTAGACGTGCACTTTCACGGAGCACAGGTGTGCGGCGCACCGAAGAGCTGCCTTCAAGCTGGTAGTTCCTGTGCCATGCTTTAGGTGATGTGCTGCTTCCCAAATTGTTCCGGCGTAGACGTGCACTTTCACGGAGCACAAGTGTTGCAGTTGATATTGATTCCGCTGGTCTGTCGCACGCTTCGTCGACGAAAAAGTTTCATCAACACTCGTTACGCGAATAGCAAACCGTATGGACATTTCATTGTGCGTGTTACCTACCCAGTCCACCCGTTCACGCCGCTTTGCGACGACTGTCTGCAGCGGCCCATTACCAGAAAAGTGGTCCCACATTCATTTCAGTTAAGTTCATCCACGGCAGTCGCAAACACCGAGGGAGAGAATTTAATCGGACAGAATGCCACTAAAGCAATGCAGCTTCTTTAGTGGTCAGGGTAGCCACTCTTCTGTCAGTTTTGTCATATTGTCACGGATACTTGCTCCAGTCCTATCTTCTATCAATATTTACTATTCTGGAAAGTTCGAGGCCATGCTCAGCTGTCATCGTATGTTCTGGTGGAGGTGCTGGGTACTTCACCCATAGCCCTTCACTCTGTGTGCACCTTGGCGGCTCCTCAGCCGAGTTGCCTGATAGCGGGACACGGGTGGCGGACTATCCCGCGTCTTAATTAAACCCCCAGCGAGCCATGTACCAAGTCCTATCCCGAGCCCAGCAGAAAGACCACAAGACGAGCAAGTGTCGCAAGGACGAACCTCGAAAATGCACCACGAAGAACCTGAAATCCGAGTCGGTCGCTGCTACCAGCAGGAACCATCGGAATTCTGTCTTTTGCCAGAAAAACCGAAGCTGATTAAACCAACAATGACAAACCGCATCAGCTCCCACCATTGTTTGTATGTCCATCGCACCTCACACTCCGACGCCCTTTCACGCATGGTTATGAAGACGTCGAGGGCTGGATTGAACAATATGACAGTGCTGCCTGTCACAGTTGGTGGACAAACAACCAGCTCCTGCAGAACCTATACTTCTCATGGAAGAAACTGTCAGGCACTGGTTGGAGAACCACGAATCCTCCTCAACATCATGGGAAGTTTGCAAGATCGAGCTGAAGTGCACGTTCATCAGCCAACATTGACGAGAGAGAGCCGAATTCCTGATTCTGTCCAGGACACGGCCCCAACAAGAGCGTCGCTGCCTTCGTGGAGGATGTTTTGCGCCTGATCGAGCACCCACGGCAACCCTGGTGCTACAGAAGTCGAGAAGCTAAGAGTTCCATGCCCCTCATGTCAGGGACAGCACTTTCGGCAGCCTTGCCCGCAACTCCACGACAACAGTCGAAGGGTTCATATCACCGAGGCTTCCAACATTGAATGTACACTGCAGGCCCGAGCCTGTCACTATCAACAACTACCCAGCATCTCGACACTCGAGTCATCCAGCTATAACTTCGATGCCAGACTCCCAGGCATCCGCAACATCATCCACATTGTTTTCCGGGAGGAGATCAGGGAGCTACTTTTTGCAATCAGTTGCGCAGCTTTTATTTTGATTGCCGAGATTGTTTCGGAACAAGTTCGACAGGCATTTCAACTAAAGACTTCTTTGAGCAAAGCGGCATCTGACGAACCGAGGGTGACCTATGCCACAAAGTCACGACGTCCACCACCGACTACCCGTTAGTATTCAATGCCAATTCAACGAGACACCCCAACGCCGAAGCATTCCCGAAATCGGAAAGAGCCAATGTAGGTTCTCGCTGAACAAAGTACGCCGAGGAAAACGGAGGTGTTGCGAATGGTCGACCGAAAACCACTCTGCTACTGCATGAGACCAACCATGTCTGCTGCAGGTGCCGGTACTAGTGAATTGGCTTGCAAGAGTTTGTGCCGAACGACCTTTGACCACGTCTCGAGGAGCGTCCGAGGGACATTAAGGATTATCCTCGGCGGCTTTTGCTCCTGGAGCTGACATTACCCAGAAGCTCCTGATCCCCATCACCTCGACGGGAGGTAAGCACGACAAAGCAGGTGAGCGACAATGCAGGGACAGTTGATTTGGTGTTAGTTGTCGTCCAAGGACTATACATAATAATTTGCTAACACCAATTATTTGTGTCCACGCAATGAAGCACATAATTTCCAACTTTGACGGAGAATGCCGCTTAGTGACTTGAAAAAATAGAACGGTTGGTTGTTCTCAAAAGTGGACACCAAGCATCACCCGACTTCACTTTGCCACATAAGACTTACACAAGTTGCAGTGGTCGCGGGATGCAGAAAAAATCACCATTATAAAATGGAAGCGAAATTTAGCCACTGCAGTACAACCTCTAGTCTGGGTTCTTTAACGTGCACCACGCAGCATTGATACACGACCGCACGCCTGTACGATTCATCCAGATCGAAACGGGCAGGGGCGGGGATTGAACCCAGGATCCCTGGGTCCTGCAGCGCGAGCTTTTGCTCCACGTGCTCCGAGCTGGTGTGCGCTAGCCCACTCGGTAACCAGTCTCCCACAGTTGGTTTAAGAACGACAAAATAAAATCGCCGAAGGGCGAAAGAAAAGGAAGAAGAGGGACTTTCAGAACATGCCTTTCGAGGATCGGTCGCTCATCTTCAAGAGTGCCCACTGTTCTCTGCGCATCTGTAACTACGTTTCTTACTCAGTGCTCCTGGTCGTCATCACCATCGTTTGCATGGGAGTGGTCAGCTACCTCATCGTCCCCAAGACTCCAGAGCCGGTGTATGTAGCCTTCAACTTCACGGACGAGTTCGCGCTGGTCGGCCTTCCTTTCAACTCGACCGGAGATCATTCCAGCGAAAAAGCACCACCTATCCGCAACCACGACCTTTGCCGCTCCAAGCAATGCGACCGAGAAGCTGGCCGTCTCTTATCGGTTGTAAACGTCTCGGTAGACCCTTGCGAGGACTTCTATCAGTACGTCTGCTCCGTGTGGATGACGAAGCACCAACCAAGCGATGCTCAAGGCAAGACGTCTGTCGACTACGACCTCCTGGACCGCTACACCAGGTTCCTAGTGAGCGTGCTAAGTCAGAAGAATGACGAGGTGCCCGACGCTAAGTTGCTCTTTGACAGCTGCGTAAATCCACCCGAGAACCTCTTCCACGAGGTTAGCAACGCTTTTCTCTACATGATTGGTTTCCAGAGTTGGCCGTACTCTAGGTTAGACAAAGTGACCGCGGCCGAGCTGTCTTCTATAGTCGGTACGCTCCATCGGCTTCTGGAGCTGGACAGCCTCTTTCAGTTCAAGGTGCTCGAAGACCCCGAAGAAGGTAGACCGTCCATGTTCATTGGGGAACCAGAGCTTCTGGTGGGCAACTCCGAAGGGTCTCTTTCCGAGTTCACGTTCTTGGCCAACGCGTACAGGGCTCTGATGGTGCATCTACAGGAGCCATCAGATACAAACATCGCCCTCGTGGAGATGAACCTCGCCAACCGCAAAGCTCCAAAGAAGAACCTAGAATGCTCCCAGTTGTTGAGGCGATGCACTACTATACACCTAGACCGTTTGCCACCGCCAGGGCTTATTCACTGGCCGCTCCTGGCTGAATATGCTTTCGGAGAGAAACTTGTCGCTCTCAATCAGTTTATCAAGATGCCCAACCCTGAGTACCTGACGAGTTTCACGGGTGATGCTGAGCAGCAACTCAACAGGCCGGATTTGCTGAACTATCTTGTGTTCCGAATACACGTTGCACTGTCACCGTTGCTGGCCAACGAAACGTTGAGACAACGACTGGCCTCGATCGCCTACGGCAGGAATCCAAAATTGCTGGAGCGACTTCTTCCCGCCCATTACTGCGTCAGGCTTCTCAATCAGTTCGAGCCTTACCTTACCATGTTTCTGGCTTACAATAGATCCGTGAGTAGGCTAACATGGACCACGCTTCAAGACCTTGTTCTGAGAAACCTGAACTTTACGCTGTTGAGTTACATTCAACGTAAGTTTGAGCGTTGGTTTTCGAAAGAATTCGGTGGCTACGTTCTCTCCAATGTCGCCAGTGTTAGCTGGCAGCCGCTGGTACCAAAAGCGCTCTTGCAGAAGTCATTCAGGTACGAGTATCTCAGGGACCTTGACTCCGCGAATCCTAGCAGTCTCATTTCCTCGTTCTTTTTTTGGCTTCGACGGTCTGCTAGGAGACGAAGATATCTGCCTAAAATGTCCGACTATGAACCGACGACCGGCTGGAGGTCAGGATTCCTTGAAACCTGGCCACGCCTCGAGGCTCCATTCAAAATTCTCGAGATTCCGCTACCGGTATTTGACTTCGGCATCCCCCACGACCCTAAACTTTGGAAGTTCCACATTCCTCGTGCCGGCGTCCGAATCTACTACAGCTTCGTGAAGTACACCTACTATCTGGCCTACAGTTTCTATTTAAACACCACATCTTCCGACCCGGCCTCTGTCCTCGAAAACCTGCGCGGATGCCTGCAGAAGAGCTACGCCCTGATGTCTTCGCCGCTCTTCCCAAGAAACCTGGACACCGACAAGACGTCACTGTCGGACATGGCGGACCTCCTTGCCGTCAAGCTGGCCTTTGCGGCTTACCAATACGAGTTGCTAAAAGACGTGTCAAGCTTTAGGTTCGCCAAGGCTTCACGAATCAGCTCGGATCAATTATTTTTTCTGTACTACGCTATGAACTTCTGCGAGAATCACAATCCAAGATTCTTTGAGTACGTACTAAAGTATAGTTATACGAGTCCAGGATGGTACCGAGTCAATGGTCCTCTCAGGCATATGCGAGAATTTGCGGCGGCTTTTCAATGTTCCAGGAACTCCTTTATGAACCCTAAGAGAAAATGTGAGCCGCCCGGAAGTTCTCCCCGATAGCATGTGCAAGGAATTTTTCTAGCACAGAGGAAAATGTTCAAATAAGAATCCTGTGCATAAATCCTGACTGGTAAAACAACGAAAACATTAATTAATTATTTTGGCACGTTAGATATGGGCACTATGTAAAAACTTACCAAAAATAGACAAAAAACAAAATATGTTGATGCATGCATGCTCCGGAGTTCTAAAAAATATTTATTTTAACATAATTAATTAACTGCTGAAAAAGTACAGCACCTCACTCGAATTTTGCATTTTTTGTATGGGAATAAACATTGAAAGGAAAATCTTAATTGAAAATTTAGCTTTATGTATTATTTTATTCCGGCTTCATGTCGTCCCGGTCTGCTACTTTGCTGTATACATTCAGTAATAGATAGCATAAAGCATATTTGAGCGTTTTAGTTAGATCGAACATCGGGAACGACTTTTGATATCGCCAGCAATACAACCGCAAAGAGAAGGCGGGTCTGAAATTCGGTATTATATCCTGTCGACATTATTAGGTAATCCTGGACCAACGTCTTTAATATAGTAAAAGATATATTTACAACAGCACGAAGATGTCAACCTGCTTGGAGGTGCAAACTTAGCGTCTTGTTTCGAACTATACGAACTTCCTGAATGAAGTTTGTGTTCGTGTTCCGCACGAGATATATTGATTACGCTATGAACAAATCTCGAATATCTCCGACAAATGTTCAATTAATCGTAGCATTGTCCTTAATAACTTTCTGGTTCATAAAATGGTATACGGTTATCCTCTCTTCCGAAATAATGTCGAGATTAGGGAGTTTTAGTAGATCGTGTTTTCAGGCAACGCCATGCGTAGCAGGAGCTCGCGCTGCCACTTCGAAGATTACTCTGAAGCGCGCGCCCGTAGCGATGGCGGGCCTCTGAAAACGATCTTCTAAAACTCACTATCAATCACACGAAATTGAGAGGCACACGAATGCTACGTGTCGATAGTTAGTAATGTTAGTAATACGATGATTTAATGTTGATGTTGTTCACAGGAAAGGTAGATAAGCTAACAGCACGACCGTTCAGGAAGGCGAGCTCAAAAAGTCACGCTCTCGCGCGCTTTCTTCACCGAGCGTGCGTTTCGTCCTCCTCCTTTCCTGACAATATCGAGACTTCTTTCCTTTCTAGTATTGTAAGATGTATCTCGATGTGTCCCCCAGGCGATATTAATTACCTCGATAGAGTCTCGAATGTTGCATAACATTACTACGCGCATGCCCCCGTTTATCCCACAATAAAGTATTTTTTCTTTCTCAAGGACCAAGTCCGAATTACAAATGACCACCCGTAGGGCTTATGCGGGAATTTGCAGCACTCCATCCCCGGGGGATACAGAAAAGGGTCGAAGCTGCTGCATGCTTTTAACGGCATTAATTAAGCAGCCACGACTAGGGCGATCGCCCTGCGCGCGAAAATCTTTGCGTGCGAAAGCAGAAAGTCCTTCTGGACATCGACGATGACATCTTCGCAGCGTGTCCAAATGGGTCAAGATCGGATAAAGGGCGGTGGTTCTCCCACGGCTGGGTGCCCCCCGACGCGCGTCGCAGCGACGCTCCACTGACCTTGATTTGGTAATGGGCCGCCACCCAGGAGGAACCGTTAATCCGATTCGCAGACGTCCGAGGGATTCCAGGAAGTCGAGCCACGCTTTCATTGATGAGACCGCGACGGTTTATTTTGCTCAGTTTGTTTTGTTTTCATCTATACTTCGTCTACCCCTAAGCTGGCAGTGTTGGATCAATTCTGTCTCTTGCCGTACGTGATCATGCTCCCGCTCCCGCTCAAGCAGAAAGTGGAGTCAGGTGATAAAAGGGAGCCGGGCGGCTGGTCTGCCGAACCGCAGCTTAGGAGTGAACGGAATATTGGCGTTGTCCAGCTTGTCTTCTACAGTTGCTCGTTCTGGAATATTTACGTCACCTGCCTCGATCGAGCGCGAGGCACAGTGTTCAATTGATATACAGGGAGTTTCCGAGAAGCGAGGACGGTGTTTTTAAGCCCGGGTAGATAAACTATGCGTCACAGAATGCCATAATCCTGTGAGAATGTTACGTTAGCGGTTGGGATAGAACGCGAAAGCTTCAAAACATGAGGTTAGTTGGATCAAAAGATAATTGAGAAAAACAAAGTTTATCTATGAGCCGACGTCCACCTAGGCCTAATATCGTCAAAACAAGAAATGAAACTGTGGGCGCCTGCAGCGTCTATTTTAATGAAACAAAACTTGCCAGCAAGAAAGAAATCAATGTCTTCTTTCTTGCTGACAAGTGTTTTCCACTGATATATGTCCCACAAGCGTTCACAATGCTGAGTTCTGTTTTGACGATAGTAGGCTCGGAGGACGTTAGTTTATAAAGAAAATAGTTTTTTTTTTTCAGTTATATTTTGATCCAGGTAACGTCATGTTCTCAATATTTCGCGTTTTATGCCAACCACTAGAGTCATATTCTCACGGAGCTTTCTGCGACGCATAGCTCATTCACCAGGGCCGAAAAACACGGTTCTCGTTTCTTGGGAACTCCCTGTGCATCCAAAAATCTCTGCAAGCAACACTACAACACTGCGATCGTTGCATTATAGGACTTGGCTGGCCTCAGAGGAGCACGTGGCATATGGTTTCGGTTTCAATCACCCCGTTGGCTAGTGATGTCGCGAACTTCCGGAGGTTCGGTTTCGGATTGTTTCGGAAGTTTCGGAAACTTTTTAAACGAAATTTCGGTTTTTCGAAGGCTCGGAAGTTTCGTCGTTATCTAGCCAACATGGCGTTGTTCCTTTTAAGTTTGTGAGCGTTGTGGGTGTTTAAGACTCTAAACCTTTGATGCAAACCGAAATTCCACCAGTTTTGGTTCATTTGGTGTTTTTTTTTTTGCGTTATAGCAACACATATTAGGTTGCCTGGTGTGTGCGGGGAATCTTCGTAGATCCTAGTGATCCTGTGGTCCCGTGCTGAGGCTTGCGGGCTCGTCTACCCATCGTGCGCGTTCTTGATCCGTGGTTGAAGTGATGGCCAAACTGACGGTATGAGCTCAGGAAGGAGAGCTCTACATTGTAAAAAGCGAATTGTGTAAAAAAACAAAAAGAGCTTAGCAGCTAGCGCTCTTGGCATAAATTGTCTGTTTTCGTCTGTTTCCCTGTTTCTGTAATTTCTGTAAAAAATAATATTTTCTGTTTTTCTTTTCGTAATATAACAAAACTTCTGTTGCCTCCCCCCCCCCCCCCCTTTCCGCCTAGAAAAACAGTTTTTGTTCCTAGAAATAACAAAGCTTTTCTAAAAAGAAAAGCGGGTTTCTGTTCTTGAAGTTTGTGAAAAGACAGTTTATGTTTTTAAAACTAACACACTTTTGAAGAAGAAAACGTGGGTTTTTGTTCTGAAAGCTTGGGGAAAAAAACAATCTGTTTTTTTTTTTTTAGGTTGCGAGAAAATTTCAACAGCGAACTGTGTCGCTGCTATTTACCTCGTTATTCATTCCCTAAATACAAAGAAAAGCGGGAACAAAGAAAAGCGGGAATTAACTTTGTTATTTCTAGGAACAGGAACTGATTTTCTACGAGGGTGGGCAACAGAAATTGTCATTTTAAAGAAAAAACAAACAAAATATTTTAACAGGAATTCCGAAATACATAAAGGACAACACACAAATAACAGCAACACGAGAGCCAAACCACTTACGCATCCTCCTCTACCTTCACGCGATTGCTATACATGGCAGCCTTCTTTTGAATTCGACTTGGCCGGTGACCACTACATTTGTCGCATAAAGACGTAGAGGCAATATTACTCCTACTTAATATTTTTTAGAGCGCAGCTCTTAGGGGCCCGTTCCCGGCTTGAGCGGCGTCGCCGTCGGCGTCGCCGTTGGCGTCGCCGTCGCCGTCGGCGTCGGCGTAACCAAGGTCATCCCAAGGTCACGTGACCCCCAAGGTCACGTGACCTTTCCCAAGGTCATCTCAAGGTCACGTGACCCCCTGAAGGTCACGTGACCCCTCGAGGTCACGTGACCCCTTCCAAGGTCATCTCAAGGTCACGTGACCCCAAGATGACCCCACGTGACCCTTTGAAGGTCACGTGACCCCCAAGTCACGTGACCCCTCTGAGGTCACGTGACCCCCGAGGTCACGTGGTCGCCTCCCCAAGGTCACGTGACCCCCGAGGTCACGTGACCCCCAAGGTCACGTGACCCCTTCCAAGGTCATCTCAAGGTCACGTGACCCCACGTGACCCCCAGGTCACGTGACCCCTCTGAGGTCACGTGACCCCTCTGAGGTCACGTGACCCCTCTGAGGTCACGTGACCCCCCGAGGTCACGTGACCCCTCCAGGTCACGTGACCCCCAAGGTCACGTGGGGGTCACCTTTGGGGTCACGTGGCCTTGAGGTCACCCCCAGGTCACGCCTCCCCGAGGTCACGTGACCCCCTCCCCGAAGTCACGTGACACCCCCCCCGGAGCATATTAAAGAATGAGGGGAGGAGGAGGAGAAGGGGGAGGGGTCTACCCTCCCCTCAGTACCCTTCACTCCTCCTCCTCAAGAGCTGCGCTCCAATTCGGCGTTACAGGGATTTGTAAACGGCTTTCACTTTTTTTTAATTTTCATAGTGATTAGTGTGACATCTCTTCATCCAGCGCCTTCATAAAAACAATAGTAGATTAATTAACTTTTATTATTAATTTAATGAATTACGTTAAGAGAGAGAGAGAAACTTTATTTTAACCGAACAGTGGAAGCTCTTCGATCTTAGCCCAGGTCTGGGCCTATCTAGCGGTGCCGGTCTCCGTCGCCCATCACAGTTTGAATGTGATGAACGAGGGATGGCCACCACAACTTCTGGAGCTCTGGAAGGGGGGGGGGGGGCATTTCTCTCAGCCGCTTGGATTGAGCTCGTGGGGTCACTGGGAGAGGGATTCATGTCGACTCTGGCGGGCTGCTGGGCAGTCCCAGAGTGTATGCTGGTTCGAGGCGTATCCACCGCATGGGGA